CACATGTTGATAAATATCACGTCACATTACACATACGATATATCAATGATCTTATTGATATGATCAAATATGATTAAATAGAATACTTTACTAAATAATAAAAGCGCAGAAAAATTCTGCCGATAAGACTTCCTGATATTTGAAAAATCTGCAGAGAGATTCTGCAGATATCTAATCTCGTCTATGGCTCGGTGCAGGTTTTACATAACCGAATCAATCTTCCGGCTTGAACCGCGCTGCAACGTGGCCGCAGCGATTGGCTCGTAGCGATTCGCGGCAGCTCCGAGGCCTAAGGCGAACCGACACGGGCTCGATTCCACCGTTTCTTCCCACCCGTGGCATAAGTAGCGGGTTCTCGCGCGCACCGCCAGCAGTTCCTGTTCGGCTGTTGTCATGGAATCGTGCTGGCGAGAGTGAATCTACCTCCACGTATACGCGCGTTTTAACGCTTACACACGCCGCTCCGTACCGTACCGTACCGTACGTACATAGGCACGGTACGCCGACGACGGTAGAAATATTGCGCGCGCGCGTGCAAAATGTGTGCGCACGCTCGCGCACTCTCGTATATCGATATGCGCGTGTGTTCCTCCGGTCGTCGGGGAGAGGGAGTGAGGAGGAAGGGGGCGGCGGAGAGAGAAGGGAGGCGGGCAAGCCGCCAAGTGTGCAACATTTCGCGCGCGCGTGAGCGTGTGTGTGTGTGATTCGCGCGCGTTACTGTGTGTGTCACGTGCGTGCGTGAGTGCGCGCACGTCGGCCAATCGCGACCCAAGTAGCAACGGCGCCCGACCAATGACAGCGGGCGACGGTGCCTCGCTGCGAGTGCGCGCCATCGTCATCGCCGGATGCGGCCGCGATCCGCGGTGGGTGGTGGGGCAGCGACTGAGAGTGCGGTACGGGCTACGCGCTCGAGCGTGTTCTCGTTCGTCGCAGCTCGCTCTCGGATTCGGTTGTGTTTCCGCGTCAAGTCACGGTCCGTAGTACGACGAGGAGTTCGTCCGGCGCCTAAAACGTTTCTCGCGAATGGCCATCTCGCGCGAATCGATCCGATCCGATCTCTCCCACCCGCCGTTCTTATCCATCTCGCGGACAGAAAACTCGACAGGAGTTTTTCTTTTGAGTTTTCCAAAATCTATCTTTTTTTCGAAGACTCAAAAGAAAAAGTGCGGATATTAATAGAAGTTCTCTGGATTCTTCGCTGGAAGGGGAATCCAAGGAGACGAGAAATCCAGTAGAACCTATATTTAATCAAGATCGAGCCTGTTGTACGGAGCAAGAAACGGGGCTTCCGGAATCTGACTTTATTTAAAGTAACGGGCAGGATCCTGTAAGATCGAGTTCACTTATTCGCCTCAAGAGGATTGAATTAATATCGTTTTCAAATAATAATCGTGTTCGCTCGGGTGAACGAAGAAACTGTCACGATATCGTTGAGAAAAAAAATCGAAATAAAAGTAATTCGGAAAACGGGGAACGATGGGAAGCCGAGAAAAGAGGTAACTGTGTTGCAAAGATGCAAACGTCCATTTTAAAAGAAGAGGAACCAACGGGGGCGCCGCCTATACGAGCGATGTTGCACGATTCGCGATTTCTGCGTGCGTGGCGTGACCGGAAGCAAGACTCTCTCGTGCTGGCTTGAATCGTGCTGATCACTCGGTCGACATCGTACGTATTTTCTGGATTTGATTTCTTTCCTGTGTGTGAGTATCAAGACGACGTAGGTTTGTCAATCGACGAAAAAAGATTCTACTTTCTCAAGAATGCTGGGAGAGAAAAAAAAAAGGGAAAAGAGAGTTCAACGAGAGAGAGAAAGAGAGAAATTTCTCGTCGTACTTGCCTCCCTTTTCTCTCCGCTTACGAAAGCAGGACTTTCGGGAGAAAAATAACGCGACCCATTGACTGCGACTGCTTGACCTATTTACCGCAACCTTTGGACTCGTTCCTACCTTCTTCTTTTTTTCCCCTCTTCCCATCGCTATGTACTTCCCGCGCAAGCCTATAGTATCATCGAACATTTCCGCCCGATGCGATCAGTGCAGTGAATAGAGATCTAGCGGGAGTTGATCTTTGTGCATTCTCTCTGGCGAATTCCCGGAACTGTGTTGCGAGAAAGGTGAAAGCTATTAATGACAGCCACGTCGATTCCTCGGATCCACCGGCCGATTAGAATTTTTCAGTTTTGCAAATCTTAGATACCACTCCGTTATTAAATTTTATATTTTGTGAGCTCCGCGAATTTTTTTCATTTTCTAAATCATAGTCTACGAATTAATATTCGGTATCTGGACTTTCCTTCGTATTTTCTAAGATTTTTTACATTTTTTATGCATTGTCCCACTATGTTATAGAAATGTTAGTTTTTTTAATTAATATTTTTCAATTTTCACACCGTTACAATGGAAATAAATTAGCAGAAAAGTAACAGATGGGAAAAGACGGGAAGAAAACGAAAGAAAATGTCGGTGGTCCATCGTTGGTGCCGTGTGTTCGCGGTCCCTCTTTCTCTCTCTCTCTCTCTCTCTTTTCTCTCTCTCTCTCTCTCTCTCTCTCTCTCTCTCTCTCTCTCATTTTCGCACATTGTCGCTCACTCAGCGGGCAAAGATGGCGGCCCCCTCTCACCCGTTGGTCGGCTCAGCAAGAGAGACTCGGCGAGAGGGGCCGAACCATGTGACGCAACTGTCGCTGTCACGTGACCGTGCCGTAGCTCTGGCTCGCTCGCTGGGCCAGTGTGTGATCTAACGTTTGTTACGGCGGCCGACTGCGGAGAATACATATCGAGGAACGGCAGCCAGGAAGCAGCGGAGGAGACGGGAAGGCTCATCCCAGCCACTTCTCTTGCCTTGCCTTGCCTTGCCGCGACAACAGAGCGCAGACTCTCTCTCGGTCGCTGGGTCAGTGGGGGTGAGAAACTGGCTTGGCTTATATGCAAAACGACAGTCAGTCTTTTTCTCTCTCCTATCGGCCCCGCGACAAAGCGCAATTTAACAATAATGAACTGGTCTCCTCCCTCGGACAACGATGTTATACGGGTTTTTTTTTAGGACGCGCGCGATAACATCGAATCGTTAAAATCCTAAATCTGTGCCTCGTCGCTCTTCACTTTCGTTCTTTTATATAAGGAAGAAATGATGGGAACTATTTAAAGCTCGTTTTAAACCTTGTTTTCCATTGTTATTCATATCCATATTAGTATTTTCTGCGATTCACGGATCTTAAAAGTTCTAGATTTCATAATTTTGATAGAAAACAACTATATGGTAAACCCATTTCGAAAATCTATATATATAAAAGAAAGGATGTAGGTTCTCGGGTTACCATTCACATGATATCCCTTCACTCATAACCTTCAAACTCTCCAATCAACTTCTCATAAAAATGAGGCATACATGGGATGAGAGCCGGAATCGAACCGAGACCGTTCGATTACGTGTCGGCCGCTCTCACACGGATCCACGCGCCTCATCCCATTGATGATCCTGTATCCTCGGAAGTTTTATAGATTCTCGAGTGATGGGTCTTCAGTTCCAAAGATCACGTGACTCGCTATATTTTTTCTTTAATTTTATCGTAATATATTTTTTTATCTTTAAACACTTGATACCGTAAACTGATATGACATAATCATATCCTCAAGTTTAATTGATATTGAAAATCTCTTGTTCCGATGATATTTGAATTCCTTTTATTGACTCTACAATATATGGTTACCATTCATCTTATCCTCCATTTCTGAAACTTTTGACCTCGTCAATTTTTCAACTTCCGCGCGCGCGCACACATAATCTTAGATCCGTGGTTCTGCAGATCATTGGATTCGCAATTTTAACATTCACACGTAGCACGGGCTCAACAGTGAAAGCCATGTTCCCCCAGCTGTGACAGACAATATTAAGAGGCTCTGGGATCACGGAAAACACTGAGCGAGTACCGGCCATACTTCAATGGATTTTTCCCTCGGCGACTCATTTGCTTCCTCTCAATTTGTTTCACATATGTGGAAAATATTTCGAAATTACTATCACTATTTCTTATCCATAATTTTACAAGGCGTTAATTATTTCTTTTTTTTTTTTTATTGTGCTTAGAGAGTGAGTTTAAATAATAATTCCAGAATTAAATAATATTTCTACGTGCATTTTGTGATATTTATACATATTAATTATTGATCGCATAGACTTTCTTTTTTTTTTAATTAGATAATTTTTTATTATCAGCGATGTTATTGGAAATAGAGAAATAGTGAACGAGTAAAAGTACGGATAAGTCCACGCAATTTAATTTTAAGCTCCGCCTACGTGCGGAGCTGGCGTTATCCAAATACGCTGTTGGACTCTGCGATCGTGCGAGATCCTGGGCTTAGGCCGCCGTTCACCTCCTTGTCGCGTACTATACTTTCTAAAGCTGCTTACTTTCGTAACTCGGCAAATACCGGCCGTCGCGGATTCTTTTTCCCGACCGGCCGGGAAACTAACTAGACCGACATGACGTTTTCCACGTATTTTTTTTCACGCACACGTCATTCTTCTCTTAAACGGCGATCAGCTCGAGAAATCTCAATCAATATATATATGTATATCCCTTCTTGAATTTTTCTTTGTTTTTCTTACGTTTTCGATACACTCGCATTTATGAATTTATGGACATATATATAATTCCGAATTTGTACTATAAATTATATATCCGTTTTTATTACTAAAACTCGTTTTTTATTTACAGCTAGAATATGTTTTAAAAACTATTATACATATGTCTATTCTAGTTTATTACGATTATTACCTTGTACTCTATGTAATGTAATTCCGGAAAAATTATATCGAAATAAAAAAATAAAAATAGCGCATTTTTTAACACATTTCTGAACCATTGTATGTTATTTGTATGTTCGATTTTATTATCTAAGATCTTATCGACACTTTTTAATTCAGTCATTTTACCACTGTATACATTTTTAACAAAATACATTGTCTCGTTAGTCAGAAATAGTTCAGCATCCATGCACGTGTAAGGTAAACGTACCAGTGGCCGCACACGTCCCAGTCGCCGCACACGACTTTAATGTTTTCAATTTATTAAGCATTTCGTGAAGAATATTGCAAATTTAAAAATTGTGTAGGGATCTACAATACGTTATTGTAATAACAAACAAATTTGAAGTATGATTCTGCACGGATTACCATTTATTTTAAATTGTTTATTCGGTCTCGCACGTCACGGCTGTTCGGATACTGGTACAACCCTGCGAAGTTCGCTAGTCCCAGTAACCGCACATCGCGTAGCACGCTGTTTTTCGATCGATGCAAAGTTGTTACTACGGAATTAATTCTGGTGTTTCGATTAAAAGAAAACAAAATATCGTGTGGAAAACCGATTGATAAGTAAGTACTCATTGTTGATAATATATCTGCAATAAATCTAATGTGCATGCTGAATCTGTGCAACCAGTATCAGAAAAATTGTTTGCTGTTTACATGGAGAGGTTATGTTACGGCTGAATATGTTTTGGTTTAAGGCTGCGGTCCACTTGACGCCACAAATGCTTTGAAGCGTTTTTCTTCTTCTTCTTTCTTCATTGAAGGAGGAATGCTTCGAAGCATTTGTAGCATCAAGTGAACCGCAGCCTAAATATCGTATTGTGCGGACACTGGGTGGGACATACCGAGTAAAGGCTGTGCGGACACTGGTACATTTGACTTTTTTATCATTTTCGCGGCATAAATAATAAATGACTGAATATTAAAATAAACATTGCATGTGTTTTAGAAACTAGAAACCCTAAGCTTCAAGATGGTTCAAGTCATTTGTACCAAGCATGCGTCTAAATGGGCTAAATTTGTATCACAATCTGAATTGTGGCTTAAGTGTGCGACCACTGGTACATTTACCTTATATTATATTGCACCATGTGCAACTTGTGTATTATACTTGTAATTTTTGTAATTTCACTATTTTCTTTTTACAAGGCATGCGTCAATGTTTTTTTTTTTATTCCACAAGATTCTAAGAGTTAGAGTCGATAATCTAATTCTTAATTGTGGTATCGACGACTAACGTTGCAAGTCCATCCAATTATTATCAGCATGATTCCTAATGAAGTCGGGATGTTAGAAATTGTCAATCGAGCGAATGATAAATTGTAGCAATCTAGCAACTTGTTTGTGTTACAATCAAATTTTCAGTTTATAAACGTGCACTTATACGATGATATACAGACAGTTTCACACACAAATTAACCAAAAGTTGCGATCCATATTGATGCCAATACATTGCGATACTGATAAGAGATTAATAAATATTAAAACAAAAAAGTATAGGCTTTGTTATTTATATTCAAGCATCTTTTGCATTTCTTCTTATCTAATATTCTGCAGTGTATATTCTTTAGAGTATATTTCTGAATCGCTTTGTGCGAAATATCATGCACAGCTACGGTATTGCTTTTACATCTCCGAGCAAACAGCGGGTGCGTTACCCGTGTAGAAATTTTTCCTAGGCTGTAACTGGGCCCTGAAAGGGCTTCCTTACTTTATTTGAGGCCCATGTATGGACGCCCACCTTGGCCCCATTTCGGAATGTCACGCTTTTTTATCTAGGGCCCTTATTGCTTTCCGAACTTGGGCCAATGTTGGCTTCATAAGTCGAGCCTATACCCGAGTAGAAATTTCCATAAAAATTATTTATTTTAAATTTTATTATTATTTTTTAACTGAATTTGTTTCTTAAGATGCAATCTATGACTATAAATATTTTCTCGTATTTTCTCGTATCTGAAAAAAACACTTACCTTGGTGGGATCGAACTCGGGACCTCTGGATCGTGAGCCAACTGCCTTACGTGGTAGACCACTTCTTAATTTAATGTTACTGTTATATTTAGTCTACATATGTCAACCAGCGCAAATATATAATTTTTCAAAAATTATCTTAAGAAACAAATTTAGTTTAAAAAGAGCAATAAAATTTTGAATTGGATATATAATATATTTCCAAAAAGGCTTTATATGGGCTATAACTAGGAAATCCTACATTAAGGGGATCTTAAAGTCGTTTGTAATACCGACATCTGTTTTGCACAGATATCTTTTTTTTGGCTTTACGGATTTAAAAATCCTTCTCCAAAGTTGATTCTCCACGTGATTTTATACCGAGAATAAAAATAATTTTAGGAACTGCATATAACAATGCGTCAACTTGCGAAAACGCTTTATATAAAAATTCTACAATGTATTGATACCGTTGTCAGAATTAGGTTTAGACTCTAAACAAAAAAGTTATCTGTGAAAAATGCAATATAACCTATAATTTTGTCTATCATTGTCTATACAGGGACAGATATATGGAATTTGGTCGGTAATACAAACGGCTTTAGGATCCCCTTAAACTGTCCTGGAAGGAAATTCGTGACCAAACTGGGCTCTGTACGTGCTACAACTAGGAAATCCTACATTAAACTGTCTTGGGAGAAAAATCATGACCAAACTGGGCCCTGTATGGGCTACAACTAGGAAATCCTACATTAAATTATCTTGGCAGAAAAATCGTGACCAAACTGGGCCCTGTATGGGCTACAACTAGGAAATCCTAATTAAACTGTCTTGGGAGAAAAATTGTGACCAAACTGGGCTTTGTATGGGCTATAACTAGGAAATCCTACATTAAATTGTCTTAGGAGAAAAATCGTGACCAAACTGGGCCCTGTATGGGCTATAGTTAGACATGCCCAAATTAAAAACAAAAACTAGGTCCTAAATGGGTTTGAGTTTGACAAGCCCTTATTTTGGATGCCTTAGTAAAGCCCATACGGGGCCAGCATTGAATATAGGATGCCCGGATAAATTTCTACTCGGGTAATCATACTCCGGCTGCAATATCTAAATGTGTTACGCAACGCAATGGTGTCCATTTGTACGTAGAAGTGAAGACGTAAGATTGAACTGCTCACAATAATGTAAGATTACTGCTCACAATATTTCGATTAACGAAATTATATAAAGTGCTTTATCATTCATTATCTTATATTTCCCGTCGTAAATGCAACATGACAAATGTAGACATTATGAGGTCTAGGTAACAGACAGTAAAGGGTTAATGTTGGGGATGACGAAGGGTAAGCAGAACGTGCGTGTGTGAAGAGGAAAATGGAACCGGCTTGCTTTGTTCACACGCATATGTACGAAGACTATAATTTCAACTATGGTGTATTATAAAATCTCAACCACGCTATTTATTAACGAGTGGAAAACGTAACAACAGTAATAAAGTCTTCTACAACGTCTACACTAGTTTTGCGGTAAAAAGACTGCAAAATTAGTGTGGCAATTGAGTTCACGCTGCGTTAGTAATTATACAAACATCTTCTAATTTATCTAATGCTAACAAATTAAGATAGAAAAGACATGTATTCGGGGGAAACTGTTTTCTGTCGCGCGAAAGCATGGGACACACGACCATTTGCGAATGCTAAAGCGCCATTTTCTTACGCGGCGTTGCACCGCAACCATCTTTCATATATAGACGACCGAAGCGTTTCCGTTTTTATTTCGGATCCGTATATACCGCACTGTAAGATTCCAATCCTCGCCATCTAATTTTACTCCGTTGGCCCCGATATCGCATCGTTTTGCTTCATCGCGGCCGTACTTGATTTCATAAAAGAACTTTAGGCTCGTGAAAAAATAAGCACGAATCGAGTTTTCACAGCTGCAGCTAAGAATTTCGGAATAGAGATTAAATGTCGTTCTCGGAGTTAATATTATCCAGCGATATGTGTTTCTTTTTTAACGGCATTGTGTTATTTTCATTTCAGTCGTTTTAAATTTTTTCTTTCAAATGTACTAATTGTAATACTATGCTATAACATTTTTTAGTATACATTTTTTACATAAATTTTTAATATTTATTATCGCGTAAATAAATAGATACAATCAATAAACAATCGATGTAAATTATTGACAGCGATCAATAATTGCCAAAATTTGCGCTGTTGAATGATTCCGTCGTAGGAATTTTTGAAAATGTTGCCCAGTCGACGCCAATGGCGCGGATGACATCATTGCGAAACAGTTGGCTCGTGGGGCAAAGAGACAGCGGTAAAGACCGTGGATCATTGCGAGGGGAAGGAGGAGGTGGCGGTGAAGCATATGATGCTAGAGAAGAACGGAGACGACGGACAGAGATGACGCGAATAGAAAGAGAAGGAGAGACATATGAGAGATGCAAGGAAGCAATGAAGGAGAGAGACGGAGAGAAAGAGAGAGAGAACGATAGCAGCCATGATGAAGCGAGACGAGTGAAATGGTACCGTGATATAAGCATGTAGTGAATCTGCCGTTTGGTGGGGATAGAGGAAGGGGGCGAAAGGGGGGTGGCTAGGCCTTGAAGAAACTAAGACGGATAAAGGCACGCATCGCTTATGAACGGAACTCTAGCGCTGAAGTCAGCACGGTTATTTCTCGAGCTGAAGTCAGCGTACCTTTCTCTATAATTCAATATGTATATATCATTTTATATATACAATACATATATCGTTCTTAATATGTATCAAATGGAGTCGTTCACTGATCACGTAATGGCGATATATTTCATAAATCTATAAATATTGATGATGCTAATTTTGCAAAAATATTACAAATGATAGAATATTACAGGTGGAAAAGAATGTAGGAAGTTTGAATAATTAGTAACAAGTAGATACGATGCGTTGGATACTAGACATGCTTATCGTCAATATATACGCACTCATACATGTACAGGGTGTCTGGTAATAAGTGTATCACCTCTCGTAGGTAGAGCGGGTCAAATAAAACTGAATAGAAAAGTCCGGCTGGTATAGAACGCGGCAAGGAAGAAACGACCCAGTGTTACGCGCCAATTGCGGTTTCTATACGCTCATGACGAGGAGCGTTGAGAGGAGCGCGCTTCTAGCAACCGCAATTGATTCATATAACACTGTCTCTCGCGACGCTGAATCGCGTCGAGGCACGTTCATTCGATAGATCTCAATTAATTTTTTATTGATTATTGAAAAAAATCCGCAAAACGTAGAGGACTTTTCTATTCGGTTTCTGCCCACGAGAGGTGGATACAATTATTACTTAGACATCCAGTATGCATATATAAATATATCTAAGTCTGTGTGCGAGCGTGTATATGTGCATAGACCAGTAGGTTGCGTAATCGACGACGATATCAATTATTAGGCAGTCTTCGAAGCACAGGCGAGTCATCGGCAACCTCGCGTTCGCCAATACCAATATTACACGACGTCGCCACCGGCGATGATCGATTCACTCGTATACACATTTTTCACATATTACTTTATGAAAAATAAGCGCTTGATTTTCTGTGTTACAAAGAACCCGTGCGGAGACAATGATTATCCTTCATCGTATATTTCGAGTATCATTTACAAAGAGAAGAAAGATTCCGGGTCTTCCGACATTTTTCAGTGAAAACCTTCGAGGCTCCATGTATGCTGCGGAGAACAGAGAGGATGGCATCCTCTTTTTCATCCATTTCCGTCTCACGGACCCTTTGCGGCATTCGTCCTGTTCGGCCAAAAGCCCACCCCGACTTTCACCCTCACCCACCATTCCCTAACGACTCCGTGGCCGAAGATGGCCGCTGAGGTCATCGTTAGACCACGCCCTGCGAAACGAAGCTTTCTGCTATAGAGGAACTGTCGAGGGAGGATCAAGAACAACTCCAAGGACAACGAGCGCCGCTCCTACGGGAAGCGTGCCGACCGGACCACTCTCCGCGTTCCTCTCTTCCCGGAAATTGCGAGCGTACACACGAGCGGGCCGATTCGCTCGCGTCATGGCGCATGATGTAGGAAAATTACTGGTCATCATACATGGAAACGATTAAGTGTTTCCTCATCCCGATTCCTCG